AATGCCGAGGGGAGCCTGTGCGAGACTTTTACCAGGTACAGCGAGGCTACACGATCTGCCAGACAACACGCATGATTTCTTGGGTAGAGTGCACCGGAGCTTGCAAAACAGGGGCTTGCTGTGCCAGCCAGCGAATGAAACGTCGGAAATATACCTTTGAGTGCAGTGACGGGACCTCTTTCAGCGAGGAAGTGGAAAAGACCATCAAGTGTGGCTGCGTGGGCTGCATGTAGCAGCATTCGCTCACATTTCCTGCCACTGTTGTGGAGCAGAAGAAAGGAAGGAAGGAAGAGAGTGGACTGGAGAAAAGCAAGGGAGGGAAAGAAAGAGAGATTATAAAGAATATATATAAAACCTATCTATATATTATGGACAACAATGTTTGTAAAATAGGACATTTCCTCCCCTTTCAAGGGTGTGTGACCTACAGTAACACAGAGAAACCAACACCATGAGCAACAGAGAAGTGACAGCAGCAGCAACAAAACCACTGTACTTGCAACATTGTTCCAAGGGGTCCAGAGATTTCCAAAGTATCCCTCCAATCCAAATTCACTGGAGTTAATTCCCCATCCATCTGTGAAGCCTCTGGCAGCTTAGCCACCATCTACCACCTCTTCTTTGTGGAGGCAGTGAGGGCAGTGTGGTCCAGTCTGGCTAAGAACGGCAGGAGAAAGACAAAAAAAGAGAGAAACACAGCAATAAGAAGAGAACTGGACCACTTGATGTGGCAAAGCTACCTTGAGGTGAGCTTGGCTGGGTTACCTGGACTGGCCTTGAATATGGTTTGGGTTGAGTTAAAGTCGATGTCGGTTTGGTGTAGCAATTGCTCCGCCAGGGATACAGTCATTCATCCATGCATGCACATGTAGAAACAAACAAAGAACAGTTAGTGTCAGAGCGGCACATAGTCCAGTGCGGATGTCGCGGCTTCGAGGGCAGGGGGTCAGGTGTCACAGTAGTTTGCTGTGAGTTATAGTAACATAGGTTCTCCAAAAAAAAAAAAAAATAGAGACTTCACTGAGCAGCAGCACTGAAAAGACAGTCATACACATGCATGGCATACATACATATACACAGTCTTAACATTTGTAAAAACAAGAAGACTCATGTGGTGCAACTATCCATTCTGTTCGTGCAGTAAACAGGCGCTTGGCAACGCCAAGTGGTAATCAGTCCCCCAGCATGCATTGCCTCAGGGTTAGGATGATTTATATCCTAACAACCTTTAAGCAGGAGGCTGTTGAGCCCTGCTCCTCTTCATTGCGTGCAGTATTAAACTTGTACAAAACTGTTGCATGTGTGGAGTTTGCCAACGAGAGCTTCTTAATATCATTTAAAATGTTATTACAAAACAAAAAACATTTTCTGATTTTTGTTTTGTTCTGCCTAATTTCTCATAATGATTTTTTTTCCCTCTTATATTTTGTCTCATGATGTACCTCCTTTAGCTGCCCCCAACCCTCCCTACCAACCCTTTATATAGAAATACCTAACAGATTCTAATATATATAAATAT